GTCGGATCTGTAACTTAGATAGTTGATTATATGTAATTATATATGCTTTGATCTAATAAAGATACCAGCAAGGCTGCTGATAGATTAAAAAAAAAAAAAAAAAAAAGTACTTTTTAAAAAAAATCAAACTATAGTATATGTATCTTTAAACCAACAACTTTTTTAAAAGTAACCAAATTTGAAAAAAAATACTAAATTCTGATTGGACAATAGCTTAAAATTTTAGAAAAATTATTTTTTGTGCAGAGTATATATCGGTATATCCTATAGCAAACTATAGCAAATTAATATAAATGAGTATTAAATTAGAGTTAGGGTTAGATTAGGATTAAAATTAAGGTTGGGTTAGGTAAAAACTTGACAGGGAGTATTTTTTATTAGTTACACAACAGGGTTACCCTAGTAAAATTTTAAGATATCATAGAAAGATGCACCAAATACAAGGTATACCAAAAATAAATGCCCAAAATTTTATTATGTTTTTTAAATTTTTTTATTTTTTTGAAAAATTTATTATGTTTTTATATATACGTGACTATTTTATTAATAACTTCAAAAGGATATAACTCTATTAAATATTAATTAACTAAAAAAATAAACTTAGTTTTTTGGATTTTATTTTATTATTTTACAAAGAGATTTAATTGATAACTACTTTAGTTTTTTATTTATAAATTATGTATTTTATATGTTGATTTAAGGATGCCCGCACTGTATGAAGAATAAACAAAAAAGAAGTATATAAAAAGGTTTATTAGGGTTGTAGAACTCCATTATTAAAAATAATCAAAATCATTTTTGGTTTTAGAAAAGTTAACATAATAGCGACTTAAAGATAGATAACAAAAAGGGATTTTGATTATTTTTAATAGTGGAGTCCCCTACTTTCTATATACTTCTTTTTTGTTTATTCTTCGTAGTTTGATTTTTTTTAAAAAGTACTTTAAACTGTATAAATAATGTAAAATCAAATTGATTTAAACAGCCAATCATACGAAAGTCTTCCTATGGCACCATATGTCATACCTGTAAATCCCATAACAGTCAGGGAATACACCTAACTGACATAGCCTTAACGTGAAATACACTAGCTTATGGTTAAACGAAACTAAGTAGACGTAGATCACGAACTTGAATAGCTTATACCGCTATAGTGTTATTACCTGCCCCAAAATTAATGTATAAAAATAGAATCTACTCATAGTGTATTTCATTATTTTAATTAATAAACTTAGATCTATAGGCTTGGAAGATATGCGATGGTAAAACTTTGCATTTTCAAATAAACCGAAGTCGAAGCGTTTTTTTATTTTACTAGTCCTCCCATCCTTCATACGTCATCAATTGGAAAAAAACGCGTTAGTTTAGTGAGCATCAAGACATTATCGCTAGTAAAGCAGATATGCCAAAAGAGGTGATTTGTCGTAATACACCCCTTTGTTTAATAGTACCAAAACTTATAATATTGATGAATTGCACCACGGTGATATAGACGGATGAAAGAATAAATCATGGACCAACATTAGTGATTCATGGTGGTGCAGGAGTAATAGATCGTGCAAACTTCCCGGAAAGCAAGCAAAAAGAATATCTTGATGCATTAAAAGAGTCACTTTTAGTTGGGTATGAAGTACTGAGAAAAGGGGGAAGTTCTTTTGACGCCGTTGTTGCTTCCGTCATAGTTATGGAAGGTCTGTACCACCGCATTACTTGACTTCAGTATACAACGGAAGCATCTAGCTATATTAAAATTGATTTCATTTAATAGATTGCCCGTTTTTCAACGCTGGTAAAGGATCAGTATTTACTATAAGTGGCAAGGTAAATTATTCGATAAAGTTCAATCATTTATTATAAATGACATAAGCCACAATAAATCATTAAAATTTATTAATAGAATGAATTGGAGGCATCAATTATGCATGGAGTCGACTCCCACCCAGCTGGTGCATGTACATTACTCAAAACAGTCAAAAATCCAATAATTTTGGCTAAAACTCTTCTTCAGGACCCTGAAAATCCACATGTATTCCTTGGAGGAATTGAAGCTGAAAACTACGCGAAATCGAAAGGATTAGAAATGGTGGATCCGGGTTATTTTTGGACAAAACATAGATGGAAGCAACATTTAGATGGATTAGAAAAGAAAGACCTGATACCTGAAAATTTGAGAATGTTAAATAATCTCGATGCTGGCGATTCAAGTGATAATGATCCAAATCCGATAGGAACAGTTGGAGCTGTTGCGGTAGTACATTTTATTTTAGAATCCATGTAATTACCACATCCTAATTAAAAAATCATCATTCAAGGTTGATATAGATGGGATCATTTCTACGGCCACATCTACGGGTTTGTAAATATACCACTTCTCAAATTTCAAAGATAGAGTGATATAGTAATTGACGATTACTTTTTAATTTTAACGCGTTAAGGCGGATTCAATAATAAAAAAGATGGTCGTATCGGGGATACACCATTAATAGCATGTGGAACTTGGGCCGATAATGAAACATGTGGTGTCAGTGGTACTGGAAATGGCGAAGTAATAAAAAAAAAAAAAACTGTTTTATACATCATGTATCAAACGAATTTACTTAAAATCCACTAATATTTTTCACGTAGTTTTTCATTCGTCATAGTGTTGCATATGATGTGGCAGCGAGAATGAAATACCTTGAAGAAAGTGTGCAAGATGCGGCTTCTAACGTTATCGAGCATTTATCGAAAGTTGGTGGTATTGGTGGAGTCATTGCATTGGATAAATACGGAAATTGTAAGTCAACAATGTGATATTACTTAAATTCTTATATTCACGGATGCTAATAGCGCATTCTTTAATCAAGTTGCCATGCCTTTCAATACCGAAGGAATGTTCAGAGGATATATTCGCATTTCTGAAGGTATTCCATATGCTAATGTATTCAAAGATGAGTGAGGTATATTTATCAAGAAAAACACTGGCAAACATAACGTGAATGGATCTAAGGAAAAAAAAATCATGAAGATAGTTTGTAAGGATTAACTTCATAAAATATTAATCTATTCATTAGTTACACTGTGCATAAATTAATTTCTGCAAAAATGCCAATTAAAATTCTGACCCAATTAAAATTTAACTATTTGATCCAATTGACTGTGATATTTAGAATGTAGTATCGGTTTTCATTCACACCATGTCGAAAAACGAGTATGGTAAGGGCCATTTTTTTTAAATGACCCTTGCCATTATGCACATGATCTGTAGCCGTTAATTTATTTAGATCATGATCTGTAGCCGTTAATTTATTTAGATCAGTATCGATATACAGTACATAAACCGATATTTTTAGGCCAAATCAATATATTGAGATTTTTAATTCAGGCAAAATTATAGATATCATTTGGGCCGGGTGATACACATTTGGCCAACTCGAGTCAGAAAAGTTTCGGAATAGTACAGCTAGGGTTGTGTTACTAAAGTTACAAGTATTTTTACGTAAATTTCAGTAAATCAGATTTCATGTAATTTTCTTCAGGTTATATATCGATATAAAGTACCGGATTCACGAACATTATTGCATCATTGGAGATTTGAATATCTGATATATGATCTGAATTTTAACTCTAATCGCCGAAAGTTTGATCTCAGAAGCTACAAATTACGTTGAAAAATTACAGTAATTTTATATTCCTAAGTACAACGGAGACTTAGAAATGCTGGTGAAATTAATTTCACCAATTCAAAGCCAATTTCACCAATTTTAATTTTATCGGCAGGGGACTGGGATGCCGTCTAAGGCCAAGTGTGATACGTGACATGAGGTTCGGTGAGAGTATTCCGGAAAATCGGATAGAAAATGAGTGACGCCAAAAGAAACGGCTTTTTTGTTTATTATTTATTATTTATTGTATCCAGCCCTGGCGACGTACACATGACAGTAACTGGTAATTCAATTTTCCTACTAATATATGTCTTTGATAGCGATAGGGTTGAGTTTAGCAAATAATATAATAACGAAGCCTGGTTTTCTTTGCGGCACTCAATTATTTATACCGATAAATATCAAATTTTGAGACAACTAAAAATTTTCCAATGTTCGAATCGATGAGTCACCGATGCCGGCCGAAATCAGAAACTTATCGATGGCAATTTGTTTATTTGTCCCAAAATTTATGAAGGCAGTTATAACGATAAATTTCAACGACTTCTGACATTAATATAGTCTTATAAGTGTCGGATTTTGAATCAAAAATTTCTGACTTCTAATACATTTACAGACATATTTATGAAGTAAGTTAGCATTAAGTCGCAAGCACAAGTATACAAGCATTGATGTCACTTGGCTGTTTAGCATGGCATTGGCCGTGGCCCAATGGCCAAGTTTTTAAATGGGCTGTTAGCCAATTGGCAAACAACTACCTAAAATAATCAGTGTTGGCATTTTGACTATGTCCAATATAAATTATGGACTAATCCAAATAGTGTCCATGTCCATATTTTGATCAATGTTTAAAAAAATCTTTTAAAGAAGTATTTTGGTGTAGTGACGGGCAATTTACGGATTTCCCTAATATCCTGCATGGAATAAAGGTGATCAATTTCTTTCGAAACGTTGCCCCATATTTTACGTTCAATAATTTCTATTCATTCGATTTTTATTTGGGCTAAGTGTCTATGTCCAATAAAAAATATCCGAACAATATGGACATAGCCATGTCCATATTCTGCAAACACTGAAAAAATATATACATTCGGTCATAGACAGGTTAAATTTCTTATATTTTAATTAATGTGATTTTAAACAAGTTTGGATTATAACTAGTGTGACTTAGCGAGAGTTGAGTAATTTTACGACAATAAATTTAGTTTTACAGTCAAACCTGTCTAAATGAATACTGTATAAATGAATATCCTGTACAAATGAATACAAAAATTCAGAACCAAGTTGGTTACTAAGGCTAATTGCATAAACTGCTTAACTGAATAATGCATAAAAAATTTTTAATTTTATTAGTAAAAATTTATACTAACTGAATATTTTAAACTTTATCTGCATAATTGTTATGCAAAATTTTATAATTTGATTGGTTAAATTATATAAAATATACCAATTTTATTAATATTTTTATATATTTTAATTTTTGTAAATGAATATCCTGTCTAAATGAATACAAAATTGGTCCACCGACCATATTCATTTAGACAGGTTTGACTGTATAGGTAAGGTAAAAATATCATACACTGTTAATCAGAACAGTGAAATTAATTTAAAAGAAGTTGTCTTACCATTCATTCAGTATTATTTCTATCATCTAATAATTTCAATAAGACGTAAATTGACATATAATTTTCAGATTAAACCTTTGCTTACATTATAAATTTTATTACTGAAATAATTAAGTTTTAATAAAAAGTAGACACAAAATAGTAGTTACGGATTCCTGAAACCAGGTATAAATCTATTTTATAACTATATTTTGCACTTACTTAACACATCTTAATATACGATTCTTGTCAATATGTTTGCCTTAGCTGAACTTATAGTATCATAAATCTTGCGAATATCATCCTCGTTAACATCAGAAATATCGGCCATCATGTAAGCAATTTCTCCTCGTGAATCCGAATGTTGTTTCTCCACATTGTGGTCGGCAAGAATTTGATTGATTTCCTATGATACATAATTTAACATTAATATATTGGATATCTCACCAAAAATGATGTATCAATAAAGTAGCCAGACATACTTTGAGCACACCAGGAACATTTTGATGAGCAAAAAGAACACGAATTGAATTTTTTTCTGTATCCTGAATAGCGCGAAGGTCAATCTCAGGGAAATTAACCGCGCCAATAGAAGTGCCGTAATTTATGTATTTAAAAAGTGCAGTTGCTACTTCAATTCCGATCATTCGTTGTGCTTCTTCGGTAGAACCACCTATAATAATTTGTAAAAAAAAAAGATTATTAAAAAATCTATTTATCAATGGATTTTAGATAATTAGATTATATTTACCGATATGCGGCGACAATATCAAATTTTTGCATTTTAAAAGTTCAGATGCCCAGGAATTTAACTCATCATTAAAGTTTTGGCCATTGGACCTAGGTTCACGTGGATAAACGTCAATTGCTGCGCCTCTTAAGTGTTCACTTTGTAAACCTTTTAATAAAGCTGGAATCTGAACAACAGTGCCGCGAGATGCATTTATCAAATAACTGCCTTTCTTCATCTTGCTAATTTCAGCATCCCCTATCATATTTTTTGTGTCTTCAGTTTCAGGGACATGCAAAGTGACAAAATCTGCTCGTTCCAAAAGTTCATGCAGCGTACTAACTTGTTTAGCAATTCCCAAAGGCATTATTTGGATAATATCGTAGAAATACACAGTCATCCCCATGGATTCAGCGAGAACAGATAATTGTGATCCAATGTGGCCATAACCAATAATCCCTATTAAAAATAAGATTAAACTTGCGAGTACTTTAAATTGTTCTTACGTAGAATTTGGAACTGACTTTATTTTTCATATGTTACAACAGATTAAAACCGGTTCTAATATATGAAAGATAAAACCGGTTCTAAACTCTATTGAATCTTACGCATAATGGTAGTTACCAAGTGTCTTTCCTCGAATCTCATAACAATTTGCCGAAACTTTATTCCAAATTCCTTGATGCATCTCAATATTACGATCACCCAATTGTCTAGACAAAAAGATAATCTCTCCAATAACCAATTCTGCAACACTTCTACTGTTACTAAAAGGAGAATTGAAGACAGAAATACCCTGTCTAGCAGCAGCTTCCAGATCGACTTGATTTGTTCCAATACAGAAACACCCGATCACTAAGAGTTTTTTCGCTTCCGCGAGGACTTTGCTTGTTAGTTTGGTTTTGGATCGGATTCCAATGCAATGAACATCACGAATTTTTTCTATAAGGACATCATCTGAGAGAGATTTTGAATGTGCTTCAACCTTTTTTTACAAGGATAAAACGCGAAAAATTTGTAAGCTAGTAATACAAGTCATATGATCTATTTACGATAAAAATAATGGCATTATTCCATAAAATGCGCACCTGATATCCTTCACCAGATAAAATATCGATGGCAGCCTGGCTTATGTTTTCCAACAGCAAGATTTTTATATCACCAGAAGCAAACGGCTTAAGCGCCTTCGCATGAGTAGACGTGAAGGACGACGACCTCTTCAAATTCGGTTGTGGGCTTACGAGCTGATATTGGTTTACTTGTCCTTGAGCCATTGTCGTTTCTTTCAGTTGGAAAATGAGATCTTATAAAATTATCGTTTCTTTCAGTTGGAAAATGAGATCTTATAAAATTATCGTTTCTTTCAGTTCGAAAATGAGATCTTATAAAATTTTTTATCCATGATATTGATATTAAATTGCCTATTTTGTATAACGATTATTTAAAAGATTATTAATCAATTAACACATGATATCTGAAAATTTTTTTGCGCGGGTGTCTATCGATTATCGACATATTCTATATATTAATTTATTATGAAGCGTTTTAAGGCTTATATTCAGCTTAGCAATCGTATTACGATTAACCAAATTTTCTTTATGTTTCTGTTTATAATATTGATATATATGCGGGACTCGAACAGCTCGAACATTGAAATATTATTAGAAAATTCACATTTACTGATTAAAAATAAAATCCGATCTGAATATAAGCAATCTCTTCACTTTAGTCCGAAAACAATTTTTTCTTTTTTGCGCGGGTATGTGTATTTTGGGCTTGAACAGCAAACCTAGCATCGCCCACAAAAAATGTAGTTACATCATAAATAAAACTCTGATGACAATGATAAATTTTTTTATTTTTTTACTAAGAATGACAAATATGCATAGCCGATTCATATCTGTGTTTAATTTTTTGGGCTTGTATTTTTGATCTTTTTCGTTTATTTACGACACTTCTGACAAGTCGCCAATTGTTTCCTTGGATCAAATATGAGTGCTGCAGAGCAAAACCTGTAACTGATCATAGTAAATCAGTTATCGCTCTGCAGCACACATATAGTATAGGGGTCCCTATTAATAAAATTGATTATTAATCAATTGATTTATACGTAGTGGAGATTTCTACGTATACGTATTATATTTCCTTTTTTTATTAGATCAGATAATAACTAATTATCTACCAGGATAAAGTTTATGACGTTAGCCGAAGGGCACGGTCAAATTGAGTTTTGATCGATATCGATATATCAAAAAAAATTAAGATCTTGTATGATAGAAATTCGTTTTGATTGGCTATTTAGTTTATATTAACAGCACTGTTACACAAGTTTTTAAATTATTTTACATGTCTCGCTTGTCACAAGGCGATACAGCAGGTGCCATGAGAATCTTGGAATCTCTCATGCGTAAAGTAAAAATAAGCATATGAATACTGCATTGAGGTTGAATACATACGTAGCAATTTTTCGTGTAACGATCACGATAGTAAAATGTTAAAAATTATCGTTAATAAAATATGGACGAATCTATTTGTCGCCGGCTGTTACAGAAAACCAAATCAAAATAACTTAAAATTATGCCTATGAAATCAACTTTCATGTCTTAACAAAATATATTCTTTGCATAACTTTATTATATTATGCTTCTTTCTAACTCTAAATACAACTCTAAATAAAATACGGGTACTGTCACAGCCGGCGACAAATAGGTTATTAAAAATTTAATAAAAAATTTTTAAAATATAAGTTCTGCTGAGCCATCGAGCAAAATTTAAAAATTTAATAAAAATTTTTTTAAAAAAAAATCTCTTTTAGTTTAAAATATAAGTTCTGCTGAGCCATCGAGCAAAATTTTCAAACTAGTTAATATGTAATTTACGGAGGAGATACGATTTGAAATTTGAAAATCTTAAATGAAACGATTATGAAAAGTTATCAAATTTCAAATTGTATCTTCTCTGTAAATTACATATTAACTGGCTTAAAAAATCTGCTCGATTGCTCAACCGAACCTGTATTTTTAAACTAAAAGAGTGTTTTTTTATTAATTTTAAGAATTTTCAATAATATTACAGTATTAATCATTTTCGTTAAGATTTTACCGTATAGATCATCTATTTGATTTTTATATACGTACGTACGTACGTAGGACTATACATATCTGATATATTTGATCTACATAGTATATCGACAACCCCAATGCTGCATGTTAATTAAGATTTGTATGTTTTTCGCTGCTCGACATTCGTGTAGTAAAGATGCAGGTAAAGGTAATAAAGGAGGTTAAAGTAGAACTAAAGGGTATAACTCTTCATCACTACACATCCAAAAATGCCCGCACATGACTTGCTCAGCGATCACATCCCAGTATATCCAAAACCAACTTGGATGCTGCCGAACTTCTTCCAAATCAGTCACGGAATTACATAAGATATCTAATATTAACGTTAAGGGTGAAAAGCGTACACCATGAGAATTTTCTGTTGTGCGTGATTCACCACAAGCTAGAGATAAGATACATTTAGCACGTAAGGCGATCGGAAATGTTGGAAGGTGATTTTCAAGGCAAAGACCCCATATGTTAGCACAGATGTATTTGTCGGCCACGGAACCTGCTCGTTCAGATAGAAGAAATAGGTTCCATGATGAACAATAATAAATAGGAATTTTTATTATAAATAAGGCCTTTATAATTAAAGCTATTTAAAATATTAAGATCAAGTAGAGGCCTGCAAATTTCAAATTTTTTAGCCCGGGCCCGGCCCGCAATTAGGGTTAAAAATTTTTTGCCAGCCCGGCCCGGCCCGCTTTAATTAAATTTTGGGCCCGGCCTGGCCTCATGGGCAGACATTCATATGATTGGCTAATTTTTGTGGATCTACCCGTGATCTTCCGTGATAATTAACCAATCAAA